TTTGCTGTGTGAGAAGATCATTACTGAATATGCTGCCAATGAAGTACATATATCTATTAGCTGTGTGAGACGGGTTATTTATATGTTGTCCTTTCTGAAGTCAAGTTATGTTCAAAGCTATAAATTACGATTTTTTACTTTTTTTGTGTTTTCAAAGATTTTGAGGAGAATTACCGGAAATGACCACCGCGCCTGCGTTGTGTGTAATTACTGTTAGCATGTATATGACTTGTAATTTGACAGTGTACAGTAAACATAATCATTTCTCATCTCTCTCATTTTTGAAATTCAGCAAATTTGCATATGGATAAGAATAAACAGGATGGGCAACTAGTTTCTAGGTTTGAATCTCAAGTCAGTGTATTTGAGACAAGACTCAATGGAATTATCATTAACACATATTATTAGCACACAAAACCTCACTATCCACCTATGCATTGCCGTTACCTCCAGAAATGCCATATCTGAAGCAGATTTTACACATCACATCAGAGCCAAAAATTGATAATTGAAGCCTCATGACGTTTAGGCAACACGTAGGTACAACTACAAAACGAGTTCACAACGTGTCCATCAGCTAGTGCTAAGTTAACAGCTTGTAGAAAAACCTACATAATGTCTCAAAAAACTAATATAATGTAAAAGAAAATCGGTATAATGTCACTGTTCAAGATCCGTAATACCTGTGCCGGGCGCCCCAGATTTTTTTATAACAAAATTAAAAACATCGGTGTCTAACTTCTTAATTAATTTAAGCAGCCTCTTAGCTATTAACAATGTGTGATAGAAAATGACAAAACCAATTTGCAAACAGATTATTTAAGTCAGTACTAATTAAATTATTGTCCTATCTTTCTGAGATAATCTAGTAACAATAATAATTAGGAACACATTTCTACTAGACATAAAATAAAAAATAACTTATAATTATTTTTTTCTTAATAATAAAATAAACTACAAACATACAGCATAATATGAAATAAATTATAGGAAGGTTAGGTACCCAAAACCATGAGCTATTCATAAATTATGAATTAAAAGTAAATAACCAGTCTTAATTTTAACGAGATTGAACTTGTTTTACTTCTTTTGGCATTTGGCAGATTCTACAATTTTTAAAAACTAGTAATGTAGCTTTCGTTCTTTCGACTAAAGACGTTCAACCATGGACAGCTGTTTCGTGCTATTTGCCCTCAGCAGGGTTTGTCTCAAGTAGGACAATGGACAAACGCTGATCAACTATGCTCTATCCAGTATATAAGGTCTATCGAAATACGATAGCACAAAGTGCCATCAATTACCGGAATCGACCACTGCTCTATCCCAGTTAGCATTATCAACCGGATCACCATTTTGGCCTCTAGATGCCACTGATTCTGGTGCTAAACTATAACTGTAATACAGCTTTCGTTCCCTCGACCACAGACGGCTAACCATGGACAGCTGGTTCATGTACTTGATAACTCCCCAGCATGGTGTAAGCTTGATCTCATGTAAGAAAACGACCACTGATCAACCGTCTTCAATCCAGGCTGACAATGCGAACCGGGATACAGTTCCAACAGATAGCTTCGTGCTTTCACTCTAGCAGTGATTGATTCTCGTAATAGGTGGTACTTTGTGCTGTCTTATTTCTATAATTTTTGCGAAGATGTCTTTCGTTTTCAATAGGAATTTATAAAAGTCGGAGCTACTCATGTCTTTGAAATACTGAAATTGTGTATTTGATTTTGGTTAGAGAAAAAACCGTGAGTGCTTTTGGTAAGTTCCTTCGGTTATCGAGTGCTTAATATATCACCGGAAGCTCGAGGTATGCGATCGTGACGAATGCTCATATGTTAATGTGTTAATGATTCACCAGTCACAACTTCTTCACCAGATTGTATGTCTGCGCACGCGCACTGCGATGGCGTCGCCTGGCTGGTTTTACAGGGCCATGCGAATGTGTTTCGTACAGGGTAATGCTGGACGTTTTCCTAGGGTGATGGAGGACGTTATCCTGGGGTGATGCGTCTTACATTTCACAAGGTTCTCCTTGCACAAACCGTGCCTGGGGTTTCATCGGACACTTTTTTAAAAATCATTTCCGGACGGCCCTCGGACGCGACGCCCTCTAATCCAGGACAAATCCAGGGAATCCTGGACTGATCGCCGCTCCAAATAAATCAGACCCCAGCTCCCTTATTACGTAACTGCCACAACAGTCAGATTGCAATTTATTTTTTGGTAGGTGACACTCCGTGCTACTGTAACTCTGTCTTCTACATATCTCTGATCGAAGATAGTTGACCTGCTTCCGCATGTCATCCCACTTGGGTCTGATAGTTCCCAATAAGTATGGAACGGTGTTATACAGGGTGTTTGAAAAATAGACGGAGATTTCTTGTTAACCCTAGGTTCGTCGCGTCTCTTATCCGCATATTATTAGTCTCTTGGGTGATAAGTGTCAACCTTCCTAAGAAGAACCAGACAAGATTTTTCAACAAATATTTATTAAGTAAGAAACAAGATATTTATAGATAATCCTTAAAATTGAATGAAAGTTGAGTTTAAGAAAAATATGTCTAAAGTATACGATAACTGTAAATTATTAGTTTAGTCATTTTTTTCATGACATCTTACACAAATTTCTTTTCGGTGGACATTGCAAGCCCAATTTTGGTTGATGGTTCCAAACCCACCAATACCATTGATCTGCGGCGATGTTCCAATGGAATTTGTGAAATGTAAGCTCTTTTTATTTGTGATGTCAAAATATCCCTAGCTAAGCTTTGCAATAATTCTGTTCAGCGTGAATGACTGTCACTTTTTTTGTTGAGCCTATAAAGCATAAAAACCTTAGCATAGCGAGAAAAAATATTAAAAATTAAATTACATTTGCCAGATTAAAAAAGCACTTTTATAATTCAACAACGTAGGTCTTGCGAGGAAGCCTGTCAACCATTCAGCTTTGGTCAGCGATACCAAGACTCAACACGCATGAACCGTACTATATAAATAGTTGAATCACAACATGAAAGATACTGGGAGCGATTTTGCCAATTGAGCTAAAAAAATTAAATAGTGACATATTAAGTATAGGGTGCGTCATCTATTACTTTTTTTTTCTATTTGAAAAATCAACACGCTTTTTACGAGGTGAAATCGAATTTTTTTATTGATAAATGAAGGTTGGTTTATGCCATTTATGTATGAAAAATAACATCAGTCATGTGACCACCGCGGCTTCGTTTACAGGCCAATATCCGAACATCAAAATTTTCAATGACTTTTCCCAGAATAATCGGGTCTGTGGCCTCAATTTCAGTCCGAATATTGCGCTTTAGGTCTAGAATTATCCGGGGACCATTCGCATACACTTTTCCTTTCAAAAATCCCCAAAGAAAATAGTCAAGAGGTGTTAAATCGCAATTACAAGTGAGTGACGATTGTCACCCGCGCGACTGACCTACGGTTAAAAAATATGAAAAAAAGTTTTTATGATGATGAATTTGAAAAAAATGCATTGATATCTTAAGAAATACTCACTCGATTCTGTTGGAATTATGGAATATTTTTTGTTGTAATTAGATGCTAATTTAGCCCTGAATAGGCTAAAATTATTATGTCCAGTGTCGTCCCGGAGCACCTTAGCGAATATTGTTGTTTTATTAATTTTTGTCGAAAAAAACACGTGCATTGGAAAACAAAACATCAGAAAATTTCTTAGGAAAGGGTGTTATTGCAACTTTTCCAATGGGTACCATGACATAAAATACACTACAACAAATTAATATATTTTTTTTTTTAATTTATCACTCTGTATCTTGAAAACTCTGCATTTCCAGACCCATGTTTATAGAATCTTTTTTCTATATTTTTCAACAAGTAGTAATATTTGCATCTATTTTTCGAACACCCTGCATATGGTTGGTTGGAGAGACGAAAGCAGTTAGGTGTTCACTTCAGAAAAAGTCAAACGTTTATCCCTGTTTCTATTTTCAGACTTTGTGTCTTTATGTCGAGCTTATGGATTCTTATTTGACTATTCTCCATTTCAAAGCAACAAACACCCCAAGGCGTTCATCTCACGCCGAGAAGTTTCACAGAGCTTCAGCTTATAAATTCTAATTATAGCGAATATTCTCATTGTTTTCATCTGTTCCAAAGCTCTGTTTCCCTGAGAATGAGCTGAAAGAGCCATTAGGAGAATTAATCTGGAATTGAAAACAATCCTATGTATTTTTTATTTGAAGAAATTGGAAGCTAGCCCACTTTGAAACCAATTCTAGGACGCAGCATACTTATATAGAGTGGAACATGAAATTCAATATACTAATCATCAGTAGAGGAAGCATTGTAATTTTGAAAATAGGTTATATTTTTGGAAGTTATATGGCATATAAATCATGAAAAACCTCATTTCTGTCGGTCTGTCTATGCCAGGGACGAAAACGGTTTGTAGTTTTTTTAAAACGGTTCAGTGGTGGCGGAGCTAGGGGCAAACATGAAAAAAACAGAATAGTTCAAGCTAAAGAGATGGGTGAAGTTGCTGCCGGTGAGTTGGTGACTCAGCGACTATGTGTTTCGATGGTATCGGACTTACCCATCGTCCTTCCCATAGCAGGGAAACGGGTGGGAACTCGGGGCCAATTGTCAAACAATGATTACTTATTATTCGATATTACCATATCTTCCTTCTTTAGTGCATTCCTAGTTGTCAGAGATTCGATTTTAGACTGTAGATTGGCCACTGTAGCATTTATAGTAAATGCCTGCTAAGTTCTTCAGTATAGTTTTTCTGATCCAAAACAGTTGTCATTGGATCTCCTTGTTCTTCATTACTGGAACCACTTGATATAGTATTTGACGATTTCAAATATAGAGAGCAGTCAATAACTCCTTCTTCCTTTACACAGAGATTACAATCGATAACGTTCAAGCCCACTAACAGCCCAATTATTACAATAGCCTCATCAGTTAACATAAGTGCGTTTGATGTAAAGTATTCTACTAAAGCTTTATCTTTGTGATCTCTCAGAACTTTTAGATAATCTGCCAATTTTTTTCTGCATCAATGCTAGCCTTAACCAGGTTCTAGCACGTCCCATGTGCGTTCTAACAGTTGGAAGATTTCTAACACTTGCAGTGATATCTTGTGCCTTTGGCGCATATTTTTTCACCATTTGTAGTATATCCCACAACTCTTTTTTGGGTCCTAGTAAACCCTTCTTTGGCCTCAATCCATGCCGAAGCAAATGTTCCAAAACAACAAAAAAGTGTTGTAGAGGCATATGATCTGAATCGAGCATTCTGCCATATCGTAGGGACTGTTCAATCAGTTCCTTGACTACTAATTTGCTTATATTTACCAAGTTGCTTCGTTCTATATCTACGAGGTCGCGTCCTTTGAATTTTTTGCCATATTTCTTGGTTGGTTTGGACACCAAAAGCGACGTCCACATAAATTCCTGCGCAGAAGATATCGACGGCGACCTGGAGCCATTGTCTTCGGCGTTAAAAGAGCTGTTCGTTGAATTTTGAGGGGTTGTTGGCGAACCTTCACTATCAGCAGCAGTCATCGTGTTTGTTTTTGTAGTCCTGAACGGTCAGTTACAGTAGACCAGATATGTTCACTATATATTATATATATCATTAATTTGTTTGGATATGTGTATTTGACACTCTTTGAAAGTAAGGAATTTCTTGTTGGAAACAACTTGTTAAAAAACCGACTGTATAGGCTTATTTCACAAACTTAATTAACGTGTGATTTCTGTTCGTATTTGACTTTTATCTGAAAGGGGATAACTTATGTCGATCATAATCTGTTATGATAGCGTTGCGAGGGACCTGAAGAGTTAAACTACTTGCCGCAACTTCCAGAGAATGTACTGCTTATTAGATAAATTGTCTCGTATGCTTTTTCTTGCTACACTTTTCAATAACCCAGCGATTCTAGGTGCATGGATAAGAGATAACCGGTTCGGGTATTACGTATCTTGAAAAGTGACGTTTCGTCGGTTTTTTTTGACATTTCGTAGGTTTTTTGAGACATAAAGTAGGTTTTTCTACAAGATATTAACTTAGTGCAAGCTGTTGTACACTTGTTGTGTACGTGTTGTCGCTTAAACGACAGCGAACAGCGATCATAGCGAGCAAACGTGGAATGAACTATTTGCACACTAAAAACTACCGAGTCTGCAAGATGACATTTCGTCTTTTTTTTAGGTTTTTTACATAATACCTCTGCGGATTACTCTATCATATCTGTAGAAATGTACCAGATTACTAACTTCAAAAAAAAAATAGTGACAGTCGGGGTGAATACTATGTAATCGCGAGAGAAATTTTCTGATTCGATTTTTTTCATAATTATCTGTTGCATGCCCCCAGCATGAATAAATTGGTTGTCGGATGGTGAACCTGTGCCGATATGTTTGAAAAATGTATTTAAATAAATTACTAAAAATGTGTGTCGCTCCGGACAAAGTTTGTCTACGGTTTTTTGGATGTTGACTGTTTTCGAATTATAAGCGATTTGTCCGAAAACTCTTGAAATGGTCATTCTCAGTGCTTAAAAACCTTTTTTAAAATCACTATTCTTAAGGTTGCCAAGTGTCTAAATTAAAGATCGAACCTTCCGAAATACTGGTTATGCCAGAGGACGCCCGTGTGGTTCACAACGCATTATTCACAGTCAAATAACAAAACTCTAGTCCTAAAATGCTCTTGTAGAATAATCTTTTAACTTTAATTTATGAATTTGTAAACTTGATATCATGGATGCGTTTGATCAGCTGTGGCATGCCGTCTTATAGAAACTTCCATCTTATAGCCTTCCAGAGAAGCTTAGCAGATGGGCTGAATTTCTCTTCGACCGTAGATATCCGTCGTATTTGACGGGTTCTCCTTTTCATCCCACAATGGCAACATGGGTGTTCCTCAGGGATAGATCTTGGCTCCGACACTGTTCCTCTTACATATCAACGATCTTATGTCCTATACGATCAATCCAATCCACAGATTTGCTGATGACAGTAGTCTACATGTAGTAATTCAGAGTGACAAGCCTCAGAGCTCTCAACTATAATGTAGCGGCGCGATGCGCCTTCCAGACAGACCATCCTGACTTCGGCCTCCCATCCTAACCATAGCGAACTTCGTACATCCAGAACTGGCTGATACGACCCCTCCTTTGCCCCTAGGATATCGAGATTGTGGAACAATCTACTTGAAGAGACTTTTCCCAGTTCTATTAACCTTAGTCAGTTTAAAAATCGGATCAACAAAGTTTCTTTAAGCTCCTCATAGCACCCGCGGTACCCTGGCATTCAGGCTTTGCCTCCTGGGTTGCATCGGTATAAAAAACCTAAAAATAATAATTTTTTTACGAGTTTTGCGCTTCAGAGATTTGAAGAAGAGAAGAGTTACTAAGACCCTTGTGGTCAGGATAGGCTAGTAAACCAGAAAAGATCATTCTGAAGCAAAAAAACTTCTTTTTTTATTTTAATAAGAAATTGGCAGTTGGTTACCACCCGGCAACCTCTTGATTAAGGAGCATCCAAGAATTGTAGAAAAATCAAGTCGGAAAACCTCCACATATGCGATATTTTCGCTTCAAGTACGAGACACTTTCGAACATCTTGTAATCTTGCAGCGTATGGAATACACAAAAGTAATTACGTTTTATGTATATGCGTTTTCCGACAAATAAAATTGTAAGTATGCACGGCGTACGAGACACCAAAGGAAAAGGAAAAGTCCTACGGATGAAATTCCAGCACCTGGAAAGCTTATTTTCTTTTTATGGGACTCCTTTTCCCGACACCCGGCTTCAAAATATATTTCGTTTAAATATACAAATATAAATTTTAATACACGAGTAATACAGCGTAAGATATGGAATGCATTTCTCATGCGGCAAGCGAAATAAAATGCGATGCATACGGTCTTACATTCCCGTTCATATAAGTTGGAAGAAATTCGCGAGATTGAGTTGGGGAAGTTTAAGTGTCCTCCCTAAAACCACTTTTTATCGTATAGCGATGTACACAGATGTTCCAGAATAAAATGGCATTGGTACTGATAAAAATAAAAATGACGTCAAGCAGGTTGACTATGCACTTCCCACTGAACACTGTAAATTTCTTTCATAAGTTCGCGCAAGTTTGCCTCTCTTAGATAAAAGTTTTTTTTTCATATTCAAGCAGTCGCGCAAGCAGAAACCTAAATACCAGCGCACCGCCACTGCTATAAGCAGCTTAAAGACAGCTATAAAGGGTTGGCCATTCGTTGGTTACGGTTTTAAATTGGTATTAAAACTACACTCTGGCCAGTCCTGGATGTACGAAGTTCAATAGAGTTGGGATAGAGGCTAGAAGCCTGGTAGGTCTATCTGGTAGGCTTAACTGATGCCGTTCAGTTAGAAGAGATTTTGTAATATCGCTTGAACGCTGTAACTCTTACATCGTGACATAAAACCTTCATCCACAGCACCGCGAAAATTGTTCGCTAATCAATGCCCATTAACATTTATTTACTATCATTTTGCGAGCGGAATATGTTAGCTAAGACCGTCGATAACAATGCGGCGTAGAAGATCCAGGATGACGTCTTGATATCTCGCAGTAGCCAGTTCGCCACAGGTCTACCTTCTGTGTTGGTAGCTCCTAACACGGGTGTTGAAATTATTCTTTTTTAAATATCTGGTCGAGGATAATGTAAGCTTAAACTTTTGTTGTTTGACAATTTTTGCTATATCTCAAAGGTTTCCGTAATAAGCACCCTGTATCTTCGAAACGCCTAAACGGGTTTTAGCAAACTTGGGATAGTTGAAAAGAGTTATTCTTGGGCTACAATCGTTATAATATTTGAAGTTTTGTTCAAATCAATGACATGGTTTTTCGTGATTTATATGTCATATATCATTAAAAAAACGTGGGAAGTAAAATAAGCAGGATTTTCTAAAACCTCAAAAAATGATTTTTTCGACTTTTGCCCGAAGCACCGTCACCACTAATTCGATTTTCAGAACGTAAAAAGATTTTTCGACGCAACCTTGTGAACAAATTTCATCAAAATCAGACTTGGAAACTATCAATTTATAGCCAAGGATCATTGGGCAAACAGGCAGACCAACAGATATACTGACATTTTATCGAAATCAAACGAAAGTGCTTTAGAACCTAATACGTCAGGCTTTCCAAAAAAAAAGTATTTTTTGAGCTTTTTTCATCGTTTGCCAAATTGAAATGGCGGACAGGGGAGGTTTTTTTCACCCATAGGTCCCTCAAACAGTTTTTAGCCCAACGGAATTAATTATGTAGATTTTTTAATATTTTTTAGTAAAAACTCCAAAATGTAATACACAAAGTGAAATAAAAGAAAAATAAAGAGTATGTCCACCTAATGATTAATTGATCTTAATGGGTGATGTACCAATCTTACAAAATCAACATTACTTGCCAGCAGCATGTAGTTTTTTATTTATAAACTCACAAAGGGTTACAAAGAAGAACAAAAAAATGTAAGTCTCGATTTTGAATTTCTGTAAAAAAAAACCCTTCACGTTCTCTTAAAACCTACTCTAGTTTATCCCGATTCTAACGGTATGCCACAAATCACAAAACAGTTTAATTAACTTATTGAATTAGCAAATTTTGTGTACAGGGGAAGGAAAATAAAAAAAAAACGTGTGAAATCAAATTTTAATCATTTATTATTTTTTCTGTTTCACAAATCTTGTTCAAATTGTTGTCCTCTATGCACGCACGACACTTTTGTCTTAACTCGACGGTTGTCGTACGTAGGCGAATTTCTTGCCGAATCGTACCAAACGCCTCTTCTATTCTTCGGATCACCTCCTTGTTCCAACTTCTGTCGCGTAGACGAGTGCTTTTGCACGTCCCCGATATAAAAATCCAATGGAGTTAGGTCTGGGGAGCATGCAGGCCATCGAATAGGACCATCTCGTCCAATCCATGCATTCGGAAAAACATAATTTAGATGGTCCCGCACAATTAGCCAGGGCAGCCATCATGTTGGAACACAATTCGTCGGGCAACTTATTTTGCAGAAAATGTAGATAATTATCTTCGTTAAGACTATCTGGCAAATAATGTGGTCCAATCACATGATTGCCAATTATTCCTGCCCAAACATTCACACTGAATCTTCTCTGATCTTTTGAAGCCCAATGGTGCAGATTGTGCAAATTTAGTATCCCTTCCTTGGTGAATTTGGACTCATCCGTCCACAGAATACTTGTCAAAAATTCCGGATTGTCCACGTCTGTGTGCAGCAAAAAACGACAAAGCCGGACTCGGTTGTCGAAGTCATTGTTTTCAAGACCTGCAATCAAAAAAATACGGGTAACATTCGTTTGCAGCCGCTACATGCTTAATAAAAGCGATAAGAAGTTTCCATTGCAGACAGTTGTAAGTGTGAGAAAACAATTACGTAC